CCCCAAAACCCCAAAACCCCAAAACCCCAAAACCCCAAAACCCCAAAACCCCTTTTCAGTTTAAATTTTTGAAAGTTAACAGGAATATTTATGTTAGGGAAGATCGGAGGTTAAGCTCCAGGCTTAACTGGCTCATTCTCTGTGTCTCTTCCAGGCAACCGTAGAGAGAAGCAGTGGAGGTAAGCATCTTCTTGTACTTCTCTAATGCACCCTCTTTAGAGGGATATCAAAAGTAAGGAATTTGCTCGTTATTATCTCCCAGTCTATCCATTGTCATTCGTGATCCATTATGAGTTGGAGTTGGCTTAAGAAATTTTTCATACATGGGAGCAGATTTCCGGAATTTTCGTCGCTTTTGGTTATCTGAAGAAAGAGGTTTCTTGGTGACTGCTCCAAGCCAGAATTCTTCAAGCAGGAGATCATTTTCGCAACCTTGGGAGACCCCTATTTGAGTGAGATTAGCATCGCATATGTTTCTAGTACTAATATTTTCTTCTTTGAGTGACTGTCTGCCATGGAAAAAGTCGAGTTCAGCTTGGTCTTGTAAGAATTTAGCATAATTTTCAAGAGAGTCACTTCAAGCTTCCTGCTGCTTCACTTCAGGACTTCCTTTGGAGGTATCAGTGGCTACAGCATCACCATCGGAATGGCTGATGACCTGGTCAAGAGTATTCTGGAAGTAAAGTGTGCATAATTGTCTAGCAGGAGTTGAGGTAGAATACAAGCTATTGTTCCAGAACAAGTCTTTCCTGCTTCAGTACTCAAAAATCGAATCGTTTTGGAGATCCAAAGACTCACATGCTTTCTGAAATGTATGAAGATCCACAAGCGCTAGGGACCTTTTTAAATCAAACTTGTGTTTTTGCAATAGCTGCAGGATATATTCTTGATGATTTTTGAGAAAATCAATGTGAAATATTCCACCCTCATAGAGTTTAAGGCAGTCAATGTCAAAATTTATGTCCTTCTTCTCACCTTCAATTCCATGCTTATCTAGATAATCTGTCAGTGACTTCTTGATAAAAACCTCGAAAAGGATTATTAGATGAAATCTGATGGCTATTTTAGTGGCAGGGATATGGTCCTTCACCATTTTAATATTTTTGATCTTTAGCCCTTTATTTATCACATCTTTTTATTATTTCTCAGTCGTGGAATTTGCAATGACTTGTGATGAAGATGGGTATCTTTGAATGCTCAATTCATTTAATAACCCCAGCAAGGAAGCCAATCTCATCTGGGAAAGCATTGTCTACATCTTGGAATACAATTGCAGTTTTGGAGTTCTTCTCCTCCTCTTCAGTCGGCTGGAACAGGATACGTGAGCTTTGGGTTTTCTCCTTAATGTACTTAGTCAGGTTAGTGGAGTTCCGCTTCATGGATAATCCATTTATGAACGTGACTTTGAAGCCGAGATCTTCACAACAAGTTTTTATGACCTGTGTTGCAGAGTTTCCGATGGCTATATTCTTCTCAGAGAGGAGGTCGTCATAGTCGAAACACTCGTTATTGAAGAACACGCCTGAGTACTGCTTGTTCATAGCGTGGATACGCTCGACCTTCTTTGTCTTAAGCCGGGAGGAACTTCTGGTAGCTTGTGAGTAATCAGTATTTCCCGCCAAAAATGACGACCAGTCTTCATCTTTATTTGCGATCTCATCCATGTACCCCTGGATGTTGAGTGAGTGGAGATAGTTGTACAGGTAGGCCTTTACAGAGTTCTTAGAGTTATCTATCAGATCTTTCATGTAATTCTCGTTGTATTTATCGATAAGTAGGCCATCTTGGCTGCAGTTCCTTTTTAAATCTGGATCTGATGTGAAATCTACACGAACTCCTTTGATGCTGTTAAAGAAAATAATGCTAATACGGACCAACTCTGTGTTGATAAAGGTCTGAAGGGTCTCTTTGTCATCAAACTCGACTCCTTCACAATAAATCTTAGTCAGAGAATCCTTTAAGGGACTTAATTTCTGCTGGATTTTATCAGGTAGGATATAATATTTAGGCCGATTCCGTTCTTTTTCCTCTTGATCTGCCTTTTCAAACTCAAGCTCATGTAGAGATATTTGTTCTTGGAAATCCTTAGTCTTCTTAGCATATTGTTCAGGAGGACCGACGTAGAATGCACTTGTGCATTCTTTGGAGAAACTCCTATTGGTCTGGCTACTCTGGCTATAAATTTCAAACTCTTCATATTTCGGCTTCTTTCTTATGCTCTTTTTGATGGGATTTCTGGTCTTCTTTTTGTCAAATAGAGGTTTGCGCTTCCGCTTCTTAGGTGGGTCTGGAGCAACAATGGACTTATTTTCCCACATTACTCGTCGATCCTATTTTCTTGACCTCTCGGCGCACAGGAAGTTCCTTTTGGGATTTCTCGTAGAAATGGAGAATAGACTTGTTCTTACTCTCTTCATCCTGAGGGGCCTTTTTCTTCTTTTTGGAAGATTTAGGAATAGAGCTTATCTTATCAATAACTCTGAAGTTGTGGCTCTTAGTCTGAATGCCTTTAATCATATTTTCTGGGACGTCTAAAATGGCTTTATGTTCTTTTTTATTGTCTCTATTCTTGGCCGCTATGGGTATGTTAGGCTTCGCAAAGGAAGGCTTACCTTTAGTGCAATAGTCCATCATTTGTAATTAAATTAATTATTTGGCAAGTCTTGGGGTTTTGGGGTTTTGGGGTTTTGGGGTTTTGGGG